GCATTCATAGGGCCTCTCCCCTGTGTGGATTCTCTGATGATTAGAAAAGGCTAATCTTCGAGTAAAGTTTTTCCCACACTCACTGCATGTATTTTTCCTCTTTCCCATGAGGATTTCCTGCTGTGATGTCGTTTCCTTGATGCTCTTCTGAGTTCCCCAACAGGAAATAAATTTACCCATTTTCTCCCCTGGTCTGTGCTGATTCTCACATGATTTTCCCTGTTCGTGACTGCTGGACATATTCCTTTTCAATCTTTGTGATAATTCTCTGTGTTTATCCACTTGCTCAACATTTTCCGGCTGAGAATTCTGCTCCTCTTTCTCACATATCATTGCATCACCTGTTATGATAGAGACAGAAACCTCAAACAGGGATGGAAAGGGGAAGGCCAAACCAAAATAAGTGCTGGAGTGAGGTCAAATAAAAATCAGGAAATGAACTCCCTCAAACTCTTCCCCCAAAATAGGAGAGATGGGGATCAATTCAGCCTCCACATCCCATCCAAATTTGCAGGGGGAGAGGAGGAAGCTACTGCCTGGTGTCTGCTAGGATCTATAGGAAGCCATGAGCTATATTCACCCTGAGGATATGACTCCTGCTAGGGACAATAATAAAACAGAGACCTCCTAAGGGCTTCTTTAGTGCATCCCAGATGTTTCCTTCAGGCACTTACAGATTCTGAGTTGGTTTAATGTTTCCTCACCTGTGCAGGGAGCTCTCAGGATTGCTCTTTCCTCTGAAACCTGGAGGTCTGGGACCCATGACTCTTCCCCTTGTTCCAGCCGGGAGATCACATCAGGCTGGGTAACAGGAAACCCTGCTCAGATGAAAGAAAACAAAGGAGTTCAGTTGATTTCATAAGTCTTGGTCATAAAAAATATTTTATTAATTTAACGTCAGTGCTTAGTGAGACCTGGTGTGCCTGGGTTATTCTTCACTGAAAATGCCAAGGTCAGGGCAGGCTGAAAAAGGGAGAGCGGATGCTCCCAAAACTGGCAGTTAACACTGAAGTTAAACTCACTGACCAGTCACAAACTGTGCTTCTGATCACCCACACTGGTTATCATGAAGCTGAAAAAAGAAATCACACAGCCCCCTTTATTGCATTCCAGTTCTCTGACTCCCAATCAGCACCTAGGTCCAGTACAGTGAGAGGTTATTTAAAAAGTCAGATACATTCAGAAATCTATATATCAGGTTCTTAGCGGTATTGGTAAGTTGCCGGCTTGAAAGTCTGTTTGGAATAAAGCCACAGCTTGGATGGGTCATTCAGTCCTATGTTCAAGGCTTCAGTTTGGACAGAAGTTGCTCCAGAGGTAGGAAGAGGGATTGAAGACAAAATGCAGATGATGCAGCTGCCCTTTATATTCCTTTTGCCATGTGGCTTGTACTTCCTGTGTCCCAAACACAAGCTTCACAGCACATGGCATGGAAAAGCCTTGGAGTTCTCAGTATACAGGTATACCCCTGCATGTCTTGCTGCCTCAATAGGTGTATCCCCTTGATCCTTTCCATGGATTCATTGTACAGCTGATGACCCTGGATGGGCCATCGAACAGGGTAGGCAGTGCTGATGCCAATATATCTGGGGGTGTCACCCAGAAACACTGCACAAGTCTGGAATACAGATATACCCTACATATCTATATCTCACAGTACAAAGGTGATAAAAACAGAAACAAAATGATCATACTTGGAAAATCATAATATTTTCCCTGACACCTTACATGACATATCTAGCACGATTCATTGCAATTTTATCATATTGGTATTAATAATAATATAAAGTGTCTCAATTCCAGACAGTGTCACACTTAGTAAACCAGTGAATTCCCAGGAACAGCTGCCCAGGTCCTTGAAGATGCAGAACACTCTGCTTAGGAGGGATTGAAATACCCACATATCTGCTGAGAACACACACAGACAGACACTGTGTCCATCTGTACACCTATGTTCACTCTTCTAGAAAATTATGATCAATTTTGTACACAGTATTGCTTGTGAGGTATCGTTTGAAAACACAATCTACTGAATATTATCCTCCTGTTAAAATGTGTAGCAACACTGTATGTAAAGTTATGAGATTTTACTTTATGATATTACTGAAAAAGTTACAATTCTGGGGAATACCCACAGACCAGTTATAGACTTTAAGGTCAGAAGGGACCATTATGATCTTCTAGTCTGACCTCCTGCACGATGCAGGCCACAGAATCTCATCCATCCACTTCCTCAGAGACAGCAAGACAAATAGCTGAAAGGAAAGCCAGCCTGTCTCAGCATATGGTCAGAGAAACATTTGCTTTGAATCTGTTTTAGCTTGTTAAGTTAGATGTTAGTTTGTGTTTTATCTTGCATTTCTTTTGTAAACAATTCTGACTTTTATGCCTCATTACCCATAGTCACTTAAAATCTTTTTTTCCGGTAGTTGACAATCTTGTTTTATTATTTTATCTATCTAGTGTGTTTGGATTAAAGTGTGTTGGAAACTTCATTTGGGATAACAAGGTTGGCGCATGTCATTTTCCACTGATGAAATGACACTTCAAATGAGCTTCCGTTGTTCAGTAGTGTGCTGGACAGTGCAAGATGCACATTTCTGGGGGAAAGTCTGGGACCAGAGAATTTTCTGGGGTTCTCCTGTGGGGTACTGTAATTTGTGAGACACTGACTAGCAGCACTCAATACTGTGTAGCTGGGAGCGAGTTACATGCTGGAGACTGTGTGTTACTTGCCCAGGAGTGGCTTTTCTCACAGTAAAGCAGTGTAAAAGGCACCCCAGCTTGGGGAACTGAGGGGACACAGCTGTTCAACAGTCCAGACTGTACTGTCATTAATGTCACAGACACTCAATTTCAAAGAGTCTCCTAAAACACAGAGAAAGTAAATCCACGTCCCAGAAATCGAAGTCTCCAGAGAGAGGGCAAGTCTCCCTGGCTCTGCTTCTTGCTGATAGAGAAGTCCAGAGAGAACAAGAGAGTCCTGGGGAAGCTGGGAACAGTAAGCATGGGCTGGTGGGGTTCAGTGGAGAAAGGGAACAGGAAGGGCAGAGATATCACTGAATGCAGGATCTCAGCAGTACTAGATGTCAGGATAGCACATATTGCAGCACCTTGGAAAACATAATCCCAACTATACATAAAAAATGATGGGGTCTAAATTAGCTTTTTCACTCAAGAGAGGAATCTTGGAGTCATTATGGAGAGTTCTCTGAAAACATCCACTCAATGTGCAGCAGCAGTCAAAAAGCTAAAAGAATGTTGGTAATCATTAAGGGATACATAATAAGACAGAAAATATCATATTCCCTCTATATAAATCCATGGTACACCACATCTTGAATACTGCGTGCAGATGTGGTAGCACCATCTCCAAAAAGATATATTGGAATTCAAAAAGGTTCAGAAAAGGGCAAAAAAAAAAATGATTAGGGATATGGAACAACTTCTGTAGGAGGAGAGATTGAAAAGACAGACTTTTCAGCTTGGAAAGAGATGACTAAGGGGAATATGATAGAGGTCTATAAAATCATGACTGGTGTGGAGAAAGTAAATAAGGAAGTGTTATTTACTCCTTCTCATAACACATGGACTAGGAATCACCCAAAGAAATTAATAGGCAGCAGGTTTAAAACAAACAAAAGGAAGTATTTCTTCACACAACACGTCAACCTGTGGAACTCTTTGCCAATGGATGTTGTGAAGGCAAAGACTATAACAGGGTTCAAAAAAAGAACATGATAAATTCATGTACATCAATGGCTATTAGCCAGGATGGGCACGGAAGGTGTCCCTAAACTCTGTTTGCCATAAGCTATGAATGAGTGACAGGAGATGAATCACTTGATGATTCCCTGTTCTGTTCATTCCGTCTGGGACACCTGGCATTGGTCACTCTTGAAAGACAGGATACTGGGCTAGATGGACCTATGCTCTGACCCAGTGTGGCCGTTCTTATGTACTAGGGAATCTAGTGAGTCCACTGTCATGGAAGGGAGTAGGAAAATCCCTGGCTGTGGAGAACACTGGGAAATTAGAAGCTATAATTCAGGAGCAACAGATCTAATTAGTCTGGAAAAGCAGATTGTGAAAAATAAGAATCAGAGTCATGTGAGTTTGGGAATGAGGGACTCAAAAATCCAAGGAACCTGCAGAGAAGAGGGATTGTGGCTATTACACATGGTGATGGGGGAGCAAGACTCTCCATGTCTCAAGAAGTTTCACTACCAACCTAAACCATTTTCACATGCTAGGCTGCAATCCAGACCAGTGAGGAGTTGTGTCATCTGTAATGCTGTGTGAGATGCAATGTTCTGCTTATGGATTTCCCTTGTCTGGATACTTCCAGCGAGCATTCAAGGACGCACAGAGCGTCTGTGTGATAAGTAATGCTGGACCAGCAGCTCTGACTCCAGCAGCCTGCTTGTTACACCCCAAGCACATTCTGGTCTAGGTGGAGAAGGCTCAGGGTTTGAAGCTCCTGTTCGTTATGCTGGACCTAACCCCCAGTTTTACTTGAGCAAACAGGAGATATTTGACACTGTGCGATACTGCTCCTGTGCTCTGTTCCAGAGACCCTCCCCTGCTGCAGAACACTTTGGATAGTGGGGTGAAGCTGAAACAGGACAGAGTAGAGGTGGCATTGGGGGCTGGTGTGAACCATATCTCTTCATTTCCCCTTCCAAGAACCAAGAGGACAGTAACCCTTACCCAGTGAGGTCACATTCTCATAGTTCTCCTGCATGACGTCTCTGTAGAGAGCTCTCTGAGTGGGGTCCAGCAAAGCCCACTCTTCCCTGGTGAAATACACAGCCACCTCCTCAAAGATCACTGGCCCCTGAAAGAGCAAGAGTCCCACACTCAGTACCTGCTGCCCCATTCACAGCCCCCCTATACGTGGGGGACAGGAGCCAAACAAAAGCTCTGGGTGGCTCGCAATCAACAGAGTCCCATCCCCACCCCACTCAGAGCATACAGAAAACACCAGGTTGAGGGGATGAAGAGAGAGCCCCTCCTCTCTCCCAGCACATCCATCACACACCTACTAGCCACAGACTGATACAGGAGATGGAGCCACTAGCAGAGTCCAGGAAGAGCTCCGTGGTAGGAAGCCCAACACCCTCCTCATTGTGAGGAGCTGGATATGAAGGGAGGGGAATCTCCCCTAAGCCTGACTAGTGGGTGCCGCCTTCATATCTGAGTCTGGTCAGTTTTCCTAGCTCCATGTAGGTGGGTTATTTTCTGTTCAACAAATTAGAGCATTTCCACCACCGAACCTCGTGGGTCTGTTCCTAGAATCTAGGCCGCTTATTAAACAACTCCCAGCTTGTTTGCCACACCCAGTCCTCCTCCCTTTCTCCACCCTGTGAATTTCCTGCCCTGCTCCAACCTCCAAACCAGACTGTGCAAACCTTCCCATCTCCGATGTATTTGCTGTCCCTCTCCTCCAGCAGGAACCCACCAGCAACCCCCCAATAATCCCTACCTGAACTGGCGCCTCTGCAGCCATTTCTCTCCCCTGTCCCATGGGAGGATGGGATGAGCTGGAGCGAAACATGGACGTCATTCTGCAGCCTGGCAGGGCGAGAAGGGCAGTTGTGGAGGTTTCAGAACAGGCTTCAGTTCATTTCACATTATGATTCCCCCAGGCCCTTTCCCTGCAGACAGACACCCTAGATTCTGCCATGCTGGGAAAATGTTTGATCTCTTTATTCCAGTGTAGACCTGGTCCCTCCTGCCAGGCTAAGCCCACAGACACATTTTTAAACCTCCCTTCTGCCTCCCTGCATCCCGTAACAAAGTCTCTGAACACAAGGCTAGAAAAAGGCAGAACCAAAGGAGTCACTTTCGACAATTCCCTCTGACACTGACCCCATGGGAGCTACACCCCAGCAGGAGGGATATGGAGTCAGGAACTGGGTTTTCCTCTGTCTGATCCTCATCTTGTCCACAGGGAAGTGAGTCTAACCAGGGTGCAGTAATACATCCGTCTGGGCAGATAAGAGATCTGGAAATCTCTCTCAAAACTCTTCTCTCCCACGGCCCCTTTCAGTCTCTCTTTCTCCTTCTCTCTCTTTTTCCCTGTCCTCTCTCCCTGCCCACCTGGTAGGAAAGTCCCATTCCTGGGTTGTTTGCTCCCCCATGGCTGGATTTGCTCCTGAAATTGCTAATGGGAGGAGAAATGAGGGGAGGGGCTGTTTGTGTAGAGTGATTTTAATGCCAGACCCCAGCATTTTCCCTTGGTTTCTTCCAGTTACCTGGAGTCTGTGGCTCAGAATTTAGTATTAACAAGGCTGCAGTTTTCAAGAGGGGAAAAAAGCAAAATCTGTGATTTCACCTCACAGTGTTTGCTAAGTGGCTAGAAAGTTATCACGATGACTGGGCATGGCCGGGGAATGCCGGGTAGTGCTTGGAGCCAGGATTCTGGCACAAGCCAATCAGGGAGAAGGTTAGTAGCAGCCCCCAGAACCCGCAGCCAGGGGCCCCCAGAACCCAGACCGTCAAGCCAGGGCCCCCCCAGATATTCCCTGGCACCCAGCCCCCAGAGTGCCTGGCCAGGGACCCCAGATACCCCTCAGAGCCCCACCGGTCAGAGAACCCCCACCAGACCTTCATTGCCAGGTTGGGAATCCCAAAAGGTTCCCCCCACCAAGAGCCCCCAGAAGCTAAGGACCCCCCCCAAAAGGACCCCCCCCCACTGGGAACTCAGTCCCTCACTGTCTGCCTAGGACCCCTGCTTGCCCTCCACCAGGATCTGCCCTGCCCTTTGCCTGGGACCCACTCCTCCCCCTAGTGGAACTCCCTGACCTAGTGCTGGGGATGCCCCCCACAGCTCTGTGCATTGGGCATGGCAACGATCCCAGGAGTCTGCGGGGGAAGCCCAGACAGAGAGACTGTGGCACAGCACCAGGCTCCCTCTAACCCCCCACCCCGCCTCCCCAAGAGACGCCCACCTATGCTGTTCTGCACCCAACGGGCCCCCAGCGATACCCACCTCCAGGACCCATAGCCTCAGGGCTGGGCACATCAGAACCACCCCCCGAAATCCCAAACCTCCAGAACCCACCAACCTGACTAGGGTACTCCCTGCCCAGTCACCCAGAGGCCTCCCCCTACCACAATGCCCCTTCAGCTCCAGCTGTAATCTCCCCACACAGATACCCCACCCCTTAGCAGCAGTGTTATCTCATAGTGTTTGATAAATGGATAGAAAGTTATCACCACCTGTCAAGGCTGTATCCCCACTTTGAACCTTAGGGTACAAATGTAGGGGCCTGCATAAAAACTTCTAAGCTTATCTACCAGCTTAGCTTTGGTCCGCTGCCACCATCACAAGAATTCCCTCCCTGGGAAGCCTTGAGAAACCTTTCACCAATTCCCTAGTGAACACAGATCCAAACCCCCTTGGATCTTAAAACAAGGAGAAATTAACCATCCCCCCTCCTTCCTCCCACCCTCCTTTCACCAACTCCTGGTGAATACAGATCCAAACCCCTTTGGATCTTAAAACAAGGAGAAATCAATCTGGTTCTTAAAAAAGAAGGCTTTTAATTAAAGAAAAAGGTAAAAATCATCTCTGTAAAATCAGTATGGAAAATAACTTTACAGGGTAATCAAACTTAAAGAGCTCAGAGGACCCCCCTCTGTCTTAGGTTCAAAGTACAGCAAACAAAGATACACACTCTGGTAAAAAGGTACATTTACAAGTTGAGAAAACAAAGTAAATCTAAGACGCCTTGCCTGTCTTTTACTTACTAGTTTGAAATAGGAGAGACTTGTTTAGAAAGATGGGGAGAACCTGGATTGATGTCTGGTCCCTCTCAGTCCCAAGAGCGAACCACCCCTTCAAACAAAGAGCACACACAAAAGCCTTTCCCCCCCCAAGATTTGAAAGTATCTTGCCCCCTTATTGGTCCTTCGGGTCAGGTGTCAGCCAGGTTACCCGAGCCTCTTAACCCTTTACAGGTAAAAGGATTTGGAGTCTCTGGCTAGGAGGGATTCCATAGCACTGTACACAGGAGAGCTGCCACCCTTCCCTTTATAGTTATGACACCACCCCTGCTGGCCAGTCACACAGGCAGAGGGAGCCCTGGGGGATGCTTCTTTAACAGGAGAAGGGAAGGCCTGGAGGACAAAAATAGGTAAGAAATGTCCATGGCCTGTCACTAACACAGGGGTCGGCAACCTACGACACGCATGCCAAAGTTGGCACGTGAGCCGATTTTTCCTGGAACGCGGCGTGGGCTGAGCCGCTCAGCCCCGCCGCCACTCTGGAGTTCCCGCTGCTAGCTGCCGGCTCCTGCGGGACCCGCCGCGGGTCCAACTCAGCACCTGCTGCTGGCCTGGGGGGGGAAGGAACCCCAGGCTGGCAGCGGGCTGAGACCCCGGCTGGCAGGAGCCGCCGGTGAAAACCCCAGAGCCGTGGCGGGCTGAGCGGCTCAGCCCGCCCTGCTCTGGAGTTCCCGCTGCCGGCTCCTGCCAGCTGGGTCCCCGCGGGTCCCACTCAGCACCCGCTGCCGGCCTGGGTGAAGGAACCCCAGGCTGGCAACGGGCTGAGACCTCAGCTGGCAGGAGCTGGAGGCAGAAACCCCAGAGTGGTGGCAGGCCGAGCCAGTCGCTGCTCTGGGGTTCTGGCTGCTGGCCCCTCGCCAGCAGGGGTCTCTACCGTGCAGCTCCACTCACCTTGCTTCCGGTTGGAGGCTCTCTTGCAGACAGGGTCCAGGCCTCCAGCCCTGCTCAGGCCTACCAGCCACCTACTCCACTCACCTCAGCTGCCAATCTTGGTTTCCAGCCCTTGCTCATCCTGCTTTCGGGCCTGGAGTCCCAGCAGGCCACCCTGGACTCTGCTCCTGGCCTTGGATCAGTCCTCTTCAGCCTCCCTGCTGTGGCCCACTGTCCCCAGCCTGGGACAGTGAGGGCTGCACGCCAGGCAAGAGGGGGTGCAGCTCAGCACCCCATCTTAAAATTGCTTATCTTAGACCACACTGCCTTGGACCTTGTGCCTGCCTTCTATTGCCATTTTTTTTCCCCACTGAGAGTTGAAGGGAACATTTGACAAAATGGCCGCTCCTAAGAAAGCGAAGCTAGATGTCCGATCATTTCAGCCTGCTTGGACAGATGCATTTGGATTTATTGAAAAGAAGGACCGTGCTATTTGTGCTTTCTGTTATGAAGGTGTTGTTTGTCGCACATCAAGTGTTCGACGACATTTTGAAACGAAGCACGAGAAAACCTTTCTTGATGAAGCAGCCAAGACTGAATCAATCAAAAAGGCAGTAGCAGCCTATGAGAAGCAAAGCAGTGTTTTTAAAAGCTTAAGTGTAAGTAAAAATCAAGCTACAGAAGGAAGTTACAAGATTGCACAGTGCATTGCAAAAAACGCAAAGCCATTTACAGATGGGGAATATATAAAAAGTTTTTCTCAGCAGTTCAGAGATTTTGTTCAATGATTTGCCAAATAAAGATACAATCATATCTAGAATAAAAGAACTGCCCATCTCTGCCAGAACAGTTGAGAGACGCATAAGTGAAATGGCAGAAAACATTAAGGAAAAGCAGACGACTGCATTGAAAGACACAGCAGTGTTTAGTGTTGCAGTTGATGAGAGCGTGGATATAAACGACGTTCCACGTTTGGCAACTGTTGCGAGATACTGTGCTTCCGATGAAATCCAAGAGGAACTTTGTTGCCTAAAACCCCTGCATGGCACAACAAAGGGGGAAGATATACTGGAAAGTTTTGTAAACCATTTTGAAGAACGAGGAGTTGACATCAGAAAAATATTTTGTGTGACAACAGATGGTGCTCCTGCCATGGTTGGAAAACAGAAGGGATTTGTAAAGTTACTTGAAGATCAAATTGGCCATCCGACAGTCAAATTTCACTGTATCATCCATCAAGAAAACCTGTGAGCAAAAATTTCTAATTCAGAGCTTAATAGTGTGATGAATACAGTGGTGCGAATTGTGAATTTCCTTGTTGCTCGATCTGCTTTGACTCACAGACAATTTCAAGCACTGCTAGAAGAGATGGACAGTGCTTATAGCGACATCCCACTTCACAGCAACATTCAGTGGCTAAGTCGTGGCAAGGTTTTGGTGCGCTTTGTAAACTGTTTTGAGGCAATCAAGGCCTTTTTGTCGGAAAAAGAACAAAACTACCCCGAACTGGATGATGACAAATGGCTGTGTAAGCTCATGTTCCTAACTGATATCACTGCTCACCTGAACGAACTCAACCTCTGTCTCCAGGGTGCAGGGCAAACAGTTCTGGATCTTTATGAAGCCTGGAAAGCATTTGTTGTGAAACTAGCAGTTTTTTCTAGGGATATTCAAACTTCTACTTTCCGCTACTTCCAACACATAAAAGAGCTATCGACACGTTGCACTGTCAGTGTCGATGAGATTGGAAAGTACATGCAAGAACTGGAATCAGAATTTTCTGACAGATTTCAAGATTTCCAGCGATTTGGCCCAATGCTTTCTTTTCTAATTAAACCTGAAAAGTTCAACGAACGCGACTTGGATTTGTCTGTATTTCAGTGGATGGGTGTTGAAGATTTCGAAATGCAACTCATTCAGTTAAAAAGCTCAGAATTGTGGATATCAAAGTTTGTGGATCTGCGGAGCACACTTGAAGCTATCGAGAGAGATCATGGGGCCTCTATTCTGACCTGCTGGACGTCCCTGCGAGTGAAATTTAACTGTTTAAAGAAAATTGCATTTGCAATGCTTTCAGCATTTGGATCCACATACCTGTGTGAACAGGTATTTTCACACATGAAATCTGTCCTCTGTCCCTCTCGGAGCCGGTTAACAACTGATCACTCAGAAGCCTGTGTGCAGCTTAAAGTATCCAAATACGTGCCAGACATTGGAAAACTCAGCAAGGAAAAGCAAGGGCAAGAATCACACTAAACTGATAAGATCTGCATTTTAATTTAATTGTAAATAAAGCTTCTCAAACATTTTGAAAACCTTGTTTACTTTACATAGAACAGTAGTTTGGTTATATATTATAGACTTATAGAGAGACCTTCTAAAAAGCGTTAAAATGTATTACCAGCACGCGAAGCCTTAAAGTAGAGTGTATAAATGAAGATTCGTCACACCACTGCTGAAAGGTTGCCGACCCCTGCACTAACAAATAATGGCCACCATGGATCCACCCCAGAGGTGGCTACATCTTAGCACTGTGGGAAGCAACCCCTCAGGGAGACCATTTGTCATGCGGTTTGGGATACTTCTGGACCTATGCTGCACTCAGAGTTAACTCCTCATCCCGTGCCAGTTGGAGAAAAGAAAAGGGCCCGGCCAACTCTCCTGTTGTCAGCTGGGAACCACTGATCCCCCAAACAGGGGGAGGCCTCTGGCTTTGATGTGTATTAAATATATGGCTGATCTCTTTCATCGGCAAACATTTTTAACAGAGATAAAGGAGGGAACAAATTATTCTCAAAGGAGAGGGGGTAGAGGATCACTGGGCAATTGAACCCTCTGCAACAACTAGGATGGATAACGACTCAGGACTGCAAATAAAATGAGTGGGAAAATCCCCCACATCGGAGGAGTTCTTAAATGGACATTTGAGAATTATGGCGAGAACAGGGGTAAATCAGGGAACACGAGAGAGCTGATCATTTGTGGGGAAAGGGGGGAATCTCCCCAGATTTTATAGCCGCGTGTGAGATACTGAGAGAGGAAAGGGGAAGAACTAGAGAGAATTTGTATCACGGGGTGAGAGGCAAGTGGCACAAATAGGGACAGGATCCAATTAACTCCCCTGCCCCCGCCCGCCACTTCTCTCCCGGGGATTTCCTGGCTGCACAGAGACAGTTCAACCCCCCCCACCCCCCGTGTCCCACTGACCATCCTCTCCACCCTGCGCAACTCCAGCTTCTCCCCCCTGCCTGACACCCCTCCTCCCCCCACACCACAGGGGACCCATGGTCAGGAAGCAGATCGGGATTGTTTTTGACCACATACCCCATCCCTCCTGATTCGCAACCCCATGGACAGGCGGTAGCAAGTTAACAAACTGTTTCACAAACTGTCACGTTGCGTGGCAGAAACCGCACCCAGTTGCAAAACGGGAGGGTTGTGTTTCGTGCCGTTACACCTGGCCCCAGTCTCTGCCCCCCCCCAATCCCAGCGGTGCCGGGGGCAGATCCTGCTGCAGCTCCACTGGGGCTGAGGCAGCTCCGAGGCTTCTCCCAGGTTCCCCGGGGCGGAGAGTCACTTTCCTGCCCGGCCCCAGCGCCCCCCCCCCCCCGGGGTCTCTCACTCACCGGGGGGCTCCGGAGAAAGCCGCCCTGGCCGGATCACACGGAGGCAGCACCGATAGTGACGTTGGCCGGGAGGGAGGGGAGGACGAATGGGGCTGGAAAGGAGCATGCGCAGTAACAGCTGCTGAAACCCTTCCTTCCCTGAGATTAAGAGGGCGGAAGCGATCTCCGGGGCACGCTGGGAAATGTAGTTCCTGACTCTCCCGGGAGCGGAAGTGACATAGGGAGCCCGAGCCCGAGCCCGAGCTCGGCTGCGAACGCGCGCGGGGCGCTGCGGCTCTGCCTGCCTCGTGCGGGGCCGTTGGAGCCTTTCCCGGGGCCGGAGAAGGGTTTTGTGCCGCTCAAGCTCTGGGCATGCGCAGAGGCAGCGCTCACCCGCTGTTGCTCCCTGGCGCTGCGGGGCCGGGCGGAGCAGGAGGGTCTGTGCCGGGGAGACCCATTAACCCCCCCGAGCCCGGCCCGGGCCCTGCTCCCGCTGGAGCCGCCCTGGGGCCGCCCCGGGCTCTGCCCGCCCCGCTGCGGAGCTGCAGCCTCCAGGTACCGGAGCGAGTCCCGGGGGCGGGGCCGGGCGGTGACTCTGCCCCAGTGTCCGTGGGGGGGACCCGGCATCTCGCAGCGCCGGGATCTGCTCCCTGGGGCCGCGCCCGCGGGGGGCTCGGAGCTGCTGTAACAGCAGGAGCCCAACGCCCCCGGCCCGGCCAGGCTCTGCCCTGGGGCCCCACGGGGGGTCCCAGGGGGGAGGGGACCAGCCCCACTGGGGTCCCTGATGTGTGGCCGGGCTGGGGGGGGAAAAGGGAGGAGGGGAGACCTGGGAAAAGGGGCAGATGGAAAAATGTCTGTGCATCTCAGAAATGGCCGGGGGAGGAGAAGAGCAGGTGACCCCCAAGGAGTGGGGAGGGAAAGGGGGGGCTAAGATCCCTTCGGATTTACCGCTGCCCTCTCCCGTGGGGACCCCCCCATCCTCTCCAGCCCTGCCCCCTTTCTCTCCTGCGTGTGCGGGTCTGGTCCATCTAGTGGCACCGAGACCCCTTAGAGAGCAATTAATGAGTCTGTTCTACAGCTCCAGAGGCCCCCGGGTCAATCCTTTCAAAATCCATGGTGACCCCCCCCCTTTTCTCAAATTCCTTAGACGGTCTCCACTTATTGTACCCCATTTTCTCCCCACTTTTCTAATGTGCAGTTCAAATCTCTTCTGATTTGGGGTGTTTTCCCCTCCTCCCAAAGGTGATCAGGTTTCTCTGGCACTTTTGTAACACCATGTTTTATTTATTTATAGTGCTGAAGGCTGGAAGGAACTGTTAGCAATAGGCTGAGAATGGCCATGTGGAGGTGGGGGAGGGGATGGCAGACAGTGTAGAGGTGGGGGAGGGGATGGGATTTTGGAGGGGTATCTGGGATTTTGTTTTGTAGGAGTCCATGTCTCTGCTCCCTGTGGCCGTGGTGCATTCCGTACCAAAGCTGCATGTCAGTGGAGCAGACACACACCCCGAAGCTCCGTCTGGAACACGCAGCATTCACTGCCAGATGGGATGGGTGATTTTTCAGGAGCTCAGCTTGATATGCCTGGCTGGGGTGGATTCACTTGGACGGGGTCTGGGGCTCTGATAGTTTGGGATGTTCCTTTTTGCATAGTCAGTTCTTTCCCTTTATTGTTTTACCCCCACCTGTGCCCGATGTCACTCTCTTCTTAATTTGACTTTGGTTATTTCACGTCCAGCTTGTAAATGGGATTTAAGAATTGCAAAGCTGAATGAAAGATCAAACAAACAGAACAATTTGAATTTTGGCACATAGCTGATAGAACTATGCCTAGTGAAGGTCTGCTGTAATTACCTGGTTACCTATAGCATTTTCTGGTGGGGTGGATAAAGAAATGTCAAAGAGCCAAAAGCGCTTTTTAGGGCGAAAGGGCTCGTCAGGTGTTTGCTCTCTAGGGAGCATGTCACCGGCCAGGGCTTACAGTCTTTCAGGAGTGGTGCGCTGGATTGTATTTAGTAATCTCAAAATAAAAGGTTAAGATTGCTGGTTCACAATATACAGTGAGATCTTGCAAACGATTATACAAATAGACCCTAATGCTATTAAAACAACATGGTATTAATACTGATTCAAAACTGAAATTAAAATTGAGATAAATGCATGAGAAAGGAACTGACGCCTAATTTCCATTTCTTAATTCCTGAAATTTTGACACTCGCTCACACCATCTTTTTTTTTCAGAGCAATGCACAGCACACAGTCAAGTTAATGAATGAAAGCAGACCAAATCTTGACTGCTTTGTGTTGAATTTGCATCTGATTAAGCACCTAATTAAAACTGTACCACTGTAAGTGGAAATGCCTCAACACAGCTTAGCTCCAATGTGTTTAAATGTGATTGAAAAGTTTCTAAATTAAATACATGGCAGGATGGTAAACGGGAAAATACACAGAAGTGCCTCTACCCAGTCCTGTTAACTTCTTGTCCCAACCCCCCATGAGTTCTGGCCTCTTGGTCAACTCCGCTCCCAGTCCCACATCAGCTGTGCCCTCTCCCAGCCTAACCTGTTTCTACTGCAGTTCTTCATCCCCCTCATCCAGGCAGGGGGTTGGCGCTGCAGCACCCAAGGCACCTGCATTAATTAATGTCCCACATACTGGGGCAATTTAGATTTCAGGGAAAGATTTATCAGAGTCACTCACTATGGGAGGTGGGAGAGAGGAGAGGCTGAGAGGGAGTTGGCTCCCCACACTCTGTAGGGCCATGTTCAAACCTGGTAACCTCCATGTGACCTCATCCTCCACCCTCCCCCATGTGTCTCTGCTCACGTGTCAGAGTGTCACCTTCTGATCATAATGCCACTGGCCTCAGCAGAGCTCCCAGACAGGAGCTACATCACGATGGGGTTACGGTACTGAGAGTAAAATACATCACAGGGAGGGTGTAATTATCCTCAAAGTAAGTATTGCAGTCTAGGATGTGAAAGAATTAAAGTACTTCATTACTTAAAAGTACGCTTGAAAGGATTGGGTTTTTATTAATAAATTGCAGTAATTATCCTCACACCTCTTGTCAACTGTCTGAAATGGGCCATCTTGATTATCACTACAAAAGTTTTTTTTTCCTGCTGATAATTATCATATTATAATAGCTCATCTTAATTAATTAGCCTCTTAAAGTTGGTATGGCAACTTCCACCTTTTCTTCTTCTGTATGTATATATATCTTCTTACTATATGTTCCATTCTATGCATCGGATGAAGTGGGCTGTAGCCCACAAAAGCTTATGCTCAAATAAATTTGTTAGTCTCTAAGGTGCCACAAGTACTCACCGTACACCCACAGATGAAAAAATATTTATATAAGTATAATACAGAAATGCTTCTGGAGAAAGTCGAGTTTGATTTAAGGATATTTACACTATGTTTTGCATGTGAGATTGACAATTTGTGTTTGAACAGTTATATGATTTGGCTTTTCGAATCTCAACATTTGCTGTAATTAAATAATTGTTGTCTGACGATCCCCATAACTTCCCACAGCTCTGAACATTGAAATTCTAAATGTTAAAAAAGGGCTTTAAAATAACTATCGATATCATCAATTGAAATTAAAAAAAAGAAATAGACAAAATTATTTTTGCCAAACCACTTAACAGCAATCGCAATACACTAGGGGATGGAAATTCACAGCTAAGGCACCAACCTTAATTCTTCCATGTAGGTCCCATGGCAGATGGCTCTGGTGGCATTAAGTGGGTCCATTACTGCAGGGGAAGGTTGGGATAGTGTCTGAGATCGGGGTGAGGATTGTGGGGGTGTCCATGCCCACGAATGGAATTCACCTCCCCAGCCCTCTGCAGAGCCCAGCAACTAGGGATTTATCCAGTGAAGTGGGTGACTTTGAGCCAGACACTGAAAGATCCTTGTGCCTTCGGTTCCACACTGGCCACAAGAGTTTACTAGTACTCCCTCACCAGACTCCCGGGGGCAGCCAGGGATAATTAGCGGGTTATGGGAATTAGAAGATGAAAATACATTAAGAACGATGATATTTGTGTGTTTATTATTAAATCCCCAGACACCCACCAATCCCCATCCTTCTTCCAATGAGCTATAAATATTTAAGGGACTCAGCGACGGATCCTGCAGTGAGTTCCTGCCCCTCCCCACTTTCTATAGCAGCACTTTTAAGAACAGGCCAGGGAAACATGTAAATACTTTGAACCAAATTCCAGAAGCTGCTGAGCATGGACAAGTTAAAATGAAACCAAGGTTCCGTCTCTCCAAGGACCTGGCCCCTAGTGCAACATTATAGACACTCCCCAGAAATCTGAAAAGGCCATTTCAGAACTGAGAGAATGTTATTTATCTATTGACTTCTGGGAATTACCACTAAAAGAAATAACCCAGTGAAGTTGATACCCTGAGAGAAAGTTCTCATGTCTTTACAAATCAGTATAATCTAATCTGGGACTTTATACACTAAAATGCTTTATTCGTAGCCCTATGGCGATTGCCTGGTGTCACTACAGGGCAGAATTAAGGGTGGGTGCCTTAGCTGTAAATTTTCATCCCCTAGCATATTGTGATTGCGGTTAAGTGGGTTTGGCAAAATTCATTCTATTTCTTTTTTTTTATTTCAATTGATGATATCGATATTTATTTTTAAGCCCTTTTTTCAGTGTTTACAATTTCAATTTTCAGAGCTGTGGGACATTATGGGGGTTGTCAGACAACAATTATTTAATTACAGTAAATGTTGAGATTCAAAAAGCCAAATCTTTATAACTGTTCAAACACAAATTGTCAATAACACATGCAAAATATACAGTGTAAATATCCTTAAATCAAACTCGACTTTGTCCAGAAGCATTTCTGTATTTTACCTATATAAATATTTTTTCATCTGTGTGTACACTGAAAACATTTTATTGCAATTTATTAATAAAAATCCAGTCCTTTTAACTAATGAAGTACTTTAATTCTTTCACTTTCTAGACTGTAATGCTTGCCTTGAAGATAATTACACCCCCGCTGTGATGTATTTTACTCTCAGTACTGTAACCCCATCGTGATGTAGCTCCTGTCTGGGAGCTCTGCTGAGGCCAGTGGCATTATGATCAGGTGACACTCTGACATATGGGCAGAGACACATAGGGGAGGGTGGAGGATGAGGTAACATGGAAGCTATCCGGGTCGAACATGGCTCTACAGAATGTGGGGAGCAAATGCCCTCTCGGCCTCTCCTCTCTCCCAGAGTCAGTAATTCTGATAAATCTTTCCCTGAAATCTAAATAGCCCCAGTATGTGAGACAGTGATTAACGCAGGTGCCTTGGGTGCTGCAGCGCCAACCCCCTGCCTGGATGAGGGGGATGAAGAACTGCAGTAGAAACAGGTTAGGCTGGGAGAGGGCACAGCTGATGTGGGACTGGGAGCCAAGTTGACTGAGAGGCCAGAATTCATGGGGGGTTGGGACAAGAAATCCACAGGACTGTGTAGAGGCACTTCTGTGAATTTTCCCCGTTTACCATCCTGCCATCTATTTAATTTAGAAACTTTTCATTCACATTTAAACACATTGGAGCTAAGCTGTGTTGATGCATTTTCACTTACAGTGGTACAGTTTTAAATGGGTGCTTCATCAGATGCTTATGCAACACAAAGCAGTCAATAATTGGCGTGCTTTCATTAATTAACTTGACTGTGTGCTGTGCATTGCTCTGAAAAAAAAAGATGGTGTGAATTAATGTCAAAATTTCAGGCATTAAGAAATAGAAATTAGGTATCTGTTCATTTCTCATGTGTTTATCTCCTAATTTTAATTTCAGTTTTGAATCAGTATTAATGCCATGTTGTTTTAATAGCATTAGAGTCTATTTGTATAATCGTTTGCAAGATTTCATTGGATATTGTGAACCAGCAGTCTTAACCTTTTATTTTGAGATTACTAAATACAATCCAGCGCACCACTCCTGAAAGACTGCAAGCCCTGGCCGGTGACATGCTCCCTAGAGAGCAAACACCTGACGAGCCCTTTCGCCCTAAAAAGCGCTTTTGGCTGTTTGACATCAGAAAACGCTATAGATAACCAGGTCATTACAGCAGACCTTCACTAGGTGTAGTTCTACCATCTATGTGCCAAAATTCAAATGGTTCTGTTTGTTTTATCTTTCATTCAGCTTTGCAAGTATTAGATCCCATTTAAAAGCTGGAAGTGAAATAACCAAAGCAAGTTAAGAAGAGAGTGGCATTGGGCATAGGTGGGGGTAAAACAATAAAGGGAAAGAACTGACTATGCAAAAAGAAACATCCCAAACTATCAGAGCCCCAGACACTCGTCCAACTGAATCCACCCCAGCCAGGCATATCAAGCTGAGCTCCTGAAAAATCACCCATCCCATCTGGCAGTGAATGCTGCGTGTTCCAGACGGAGCTACGGGGTGTGTGTCTGCTCTGCTGACGTGCTGCTCTAGTACAGAATGCACCACCGCCACAGGGAGCAGAGACATGAACTCCTACAAAACAAAATCCCAGATACCCCTCCAACATCCCATCCCCTCCCCCACCTCTACACTGTCTGCCATCCCCTCCCCCACCTCCACATGGCCATTCTCAGCCTATTGCTAACAGTTCCTTCCAGCCTTCAGCACTATAAATAAATAAAACATGGTGTTACAAAAGGTAGATGGTGCCAGAGAAACCATATCTCCTTCCGTGAGAAGGTAACTAATTTTTTGGACAAAGGAAATGTAATAGCTCTAATCTAGCTGGATGTCAGTAAGGCATTTGATAGAGTTCCACAGGGGAAACTATTCATTAAATTGGACAAGATGGGGATTAATATGAGAACTGAAAGGTCGATAAGGAATTGGTTACAGGGGAGACTACAAGGGGGTCATACTGAACGGTGAGTTGTCAGGCTGGAGGGAGGTTACTAGTGGAGTTCCTCAGAGATCAGTCTTGGGACCGATCTTATTCAACATTTTTATTAGTGACACTGGCACAAAAAGTGGGAGTGTGACACAAAGCTGGGAGGGATTGCCAACATGGAGGAGGACAGGAATATCATACAAGAAGATCTGCATGTCCTTGAAAGCTGGAGTAATAGAAATGGGATGAAAATTAATAGTGCAAGATTTTTTGCAATAAGCAATAAAAAATTAGTACTGTTATAAAAGGCACCAATGAGACGTCATCTGAAATACTGTGGGCAATTCTGGTCTCCCATGTTTAAGAAGGATGAACTCAAAGTGGAACACGTGCAGAGAAGGGCTACTAAGACAGGGGTGGGCAAACTACGGCCCGCGGGCCGGATCCGGCCCCTCAGGGCTTTGGATCCGGCCCGCAGCACCACCGGCGCCATATCCCTGTGGCTCCCAGGCGGGGGGAGGGGGAGGAGGCAGAGGGCTCCATGAAACGGGGAACCGTGGCCAATGGGAGCTTCGGAGGAGGTACCTGGAGGCGAGGCAAGGGCAGCGCTTCCTGGAGCGGTGCGGGGCCGGGGACAGGGCAGGCATGGAAGGAGACAGCCCTGGCCCACCGGTGAGCACCGCTGCCACCCCGGAGCCGCTTGAGGTAAGCTGGGCCGGAGCCCGAACCCCTCCTGTACCCTGCCCCCAACCCCCTGCCCTGAGCCCCCTCGTACACTCCACACTCCTCCTGCACCCCAACCCCCTGCCCTGCACTCCCTGCTGCATCCTGCATCCCTGTGCATCCCAACCCCATGCCCTGAGCCCCCTCCTGCAGTCCGCACCCATCCTGCACCCCTGCCCTGAGCCCCCTCCTGCACCCCACACCCCTCCTCTGCCGCAATCCCTTGCCCTGAGCCCCTTCCTGCATACCGCACCCCCTCCGACACCCCAACCCCGGCCCTACATAGTATTTCCCCACCCAGATGTGGTCCTCGACCCATAAAGTTTGCCCACCCCTGTACTAGTATGATGCGACGAATGATTATATGTGTGTTTATTAGTTATTTATTATTTATTCTTGTCCATACCCTCCACCCCTCTCTTAGCACATTAATCCTCAGTCATTATAAGTCTTGACCAGTTATGAGCTTTCGGTAGACACCTCACAGGATCATCCTCCAAGAGATGTTTGGTGTGATGGGTTTGTCAGGTCTCAGGTGAGAGCTGCTGGCCTGTAGCTGAGTAGTGTGCACACCCAGCACATTGGAAAGTTGGTGCCTGTAGCTCCAGCCCCGGAGTTGGTACCTATACAAGGAGCCACATATTAAATTCTAAAGAGCCACATGTTGGCCACCCCTGATCTAGACCATGCCTGAGTTGGTCCAGCCTTCTCTTAAAAATCCCCAATGATGGAGATTCCACAACCTCCCTAGGCAATTTATTCCACCGCTTAACCACTCTGACAGTTAGGAAGTTTTTCTAATGTCCAACCTAAACCTTCCTTCCTGCAATTTAAGCCCATTGCTTCTTGTCCTATCCTCAGAGGTTAAGAAGAATAATGTTTCTCCCTCCTCCTTGAAACGAACTTTTATGTACTTGAAAACTGATCATATCTTCTCCGGACTAAACAAACACAATTTTTTCAGTCTTCCCTCATAGGTCATGTTTTCTAGACCTTTAATCATTTTTGTTGCTGTTCTCTGGATTTTCTCCAATTTTTCCACATCTTTCCTTAAATGTGGGGCCCAGAACTGGACACACTACTCCAGTTGAGGCCTAATCAGTGCGGAGTAGAGCGGAAGAATTACTTCTCATGTCTTGCTTACAATACTGCTGCTAATACATCTCAGAATTATACTTGCTTTTTTTTCAACAGTGTAACACTGTTGACTCATATTTAGCTTGTGATCCACTGTGATTCCCAGATCCATTTCTGCAGTACTCCTTCCTAGGCAGTCATTTCCTGTCTTGTATGTGTGCAACTGATTGTTCCTTCCCAAGTGGAGTACTTTGGATTTGTCCTTATTGAATTTCATCCTATATACTTCAGAGCATTTCTCCAGTTTGTCCAGATCATTTTGAATTTTAATTCTATCCTTCAAAGCACTTGCAACCCCTCCCAGCTTGGTATCATCCGCAAACTTTTTAAGTGTAACAGAGAGACTTTGCTACTGGCAGGGGTTCACCATGTCTCAGAGGGTTACACCGTGGTGGGAAGGGGCTAGGCCTGTACTTGAATAAGGTCACTCTGTGCTTCACAGTCTGGCAGAACCTAGAATGTCCGTTACCAGGGAAAAATCCTGGAGGGAATCGACATGTGGAAAGGACAAAAACCCTGTCTGAAGTCTCTCACATTGCCCTTCTCGCCCTGGCAGGCTACAGAATAACGTCCACGTTTCACTCCAAATCATCCCCTCCTCCCAGCGGGAAGGAAATGGCTGCAATGGAGCTGGCTCAGGTAAGGGATTCTCAGGGAGCTGGTGGTGGGTTCTGCTTGGAGGGAGAGGAGACGTAAATGCATAGGAGGGTGGGAGCTGCTAGAGGCGGTGGGAGGCAGGAACTATCTCGGGTGTGGAATGGGAGAGGACAGGATGTGACAAAACTGCTGAGACTTGTATAATCTCGGGTGTGAGGGGTTGTCACCCCCGGGGTGCAGTCTGGGGGGCTTCTGGGAACCACTGTGCTCTCTAACCCTGAAGCTGGGCTGGTCCTTCTCACACTGCTTTGCTGGAGATTCAGCCAGCCTCTCCAGGTCCTGTTATCACCCACACGACAGTAGGTGGCGCCATATACCCAACTAAGCTACCTGAGTGCTTTACCTAAGCCACTCAAGGACAGATAGAAGACAAAAGCCAATTTCCCAGCAATAAGTGATAGCAAACAGATCAAAGCAGATTACTTAGCAAATAACCAAAAACTCAAACTAAGCCTAACATACTAGATGGATAGAATTTGAATTAGCAATTTCTCACCCTGACTGATGACACAAGCAGTCCACCAAGTTTCCATTCACAAGCTAGAAATCCCTTTACCCTGGGACCAACACTTTCCCCCAGTTCAGTCTTTGTTTCTGAGGTGTTTCCAGGAGTTTTCTTGTGTGCGGAATGAGGCCAAGAGATGATGTCACACCCCACCTTATGTAGCTTTTCCATATGGCAGGAACCCTTTGTTCCAAACTCAGTTCCCCATCCAGTTTGTGGAAAAATAGAGGTACCAAAATGGAGTTCAGTGTCATGTGGTCTGGTCACATGCCCTAGCATGTACTGCTGAGTCATAGTAGCCATGACTCATAGGCTGGCTGAAACATTCACAGGAAGGCTAAGCTCTTCCACGGTCCATTGTCTTTGCTGATGAGCCATCAACACTGTCCGGCTTCTTTGTTGTACCTGAAAGGCTCGTTGTGGGTGTTACCCAGAGTAAGCACATTTGAAATACAGATACACAGTCAATATCCATAACTTCAGATACGAACATGATACGTGCACACAAATAGGACAATCATATTCAGCAAATCATAACTTTTCCAATGACACTGAACATGACGCATCTTGCACAAAATGCATCATGATTATGACCTAATCTTATTATAATCCTACCACTATGCTGAATATGGGGTGTAGTATCAGATAGGACCTAATTTCAAGGCACAGGAGTTGGGAATGGAACTTCCCCTCTTTGTGGAACAGGAAATAACCCTCCATCCAGGGCTGGGAAAACTTACCAGACTCCCAGTGCTGGAGCCTGAATCTACAGACACTTCATTAGTTACCACCACCTCCAATCTTTGTGGCAACTGCGAACTTTATCAGTGATGATTTTATATTCTCTTCTAGGTCATTGATAAGAATGTTAAATAGCACAGGGCCAAGATCCAATCCTTGCGGAACCCGCTAGAAATAAATCCACTCGACCATGGTTCCCCATTTACAATCACAGTTTTTAATCTATTTAATGTATGCCGTGTTTATTTTGTATCATTCTAGTTTTTTAGTCAAAATATTGTGCTGAACCAAGTCATATGCGTTATAGAAGTCTAGGTATATGACATCAATACTATTAGCTGCAACCAAACTTTTGATCTCATCCAATAAGGATATCCAGTTAGTTGGATAGGATCTATTTTCTCTAAACCTTTGTTAATGGGTACTAATGATATTACCCTCCTTTAATTCTTTATTAATTAAATCCAGTATTGGCTGCTCCATTATCTTGTCCAGTATCGATGTCAGACTGACACTCTTGTAATTAGCTGGGTCATCTCTTTTACACTTTTTAAATATTGGCACAGCATTAGCTTGATTCCAGTCTTCTGGAATTTCCCCAGTGTTCCAAGTCCTAATTAAAATCAACATTAACAGTCCACCACGCTCCTCCACCAGGCCTTTTAAAACTCTTGGATACAAGTTATCTGGACCTGCTGATTTAAACACGTCTAACTTTAATAGCTGCTGTTTAACCTCCTTCTGAGTTCTTTTTGGAATGGAAAGAGTGTCATCATCAACATCTTATGAAATGAGTACATCATCCGTTTTTCTCCAAATCCAGGAGAAAAATATTTATTGAACACTTTTACCTCTTCTGCATTATTTTTGATAATTCTGCCATTTCCGTCTAGTAATTTACCACTACCATTGTTAGGATTAATTTTGTACTTAATATACTTTTAAAAGCTTCCTTCTTATTTTTATTGATTGGTGTTTGATTTCTGATAGCTTCCCTTACCAATTTTCTACAATTCTGACCTTCTCACTTATATTCTTTACTATTGACTTCCCCTTTCTTCCATATATTTTATTTGGAGAGTGTTGGGATTCCAACCAGGGAGCCACCAGCAGGGTCCAGAGACAGCCCCATCTCCTATATCAAGCTCTGGCTAGTAGGTATGTGATAAATGTGAAGACCCTGCCTGCATCTATCAGCTGGGAGACACACAGGTTCTCTCTTTCTCCCCTCTGATGCCTCCTGGCTGCTCTAAGGAAGGTGGGGTGGGACTCTGTTAACATGTGCCTTCCGGAGCTTCCATTTGGTGCTGCTGTTCCGTGAATAGTGGGGCTGTGAGTGGAGCAGCAGGTACTGAGTGTTGGACTCTCACTCTTTCAGGGGCCGGTGACTTTTGACGAGGTGGTTGTGTATTTCACCAGGGAAGAGGGGGCTCTGCTGGACCCCACTCAGAGAGCCCTCTACAGGGATGTCATGCAGGAGAACTATGAGACGGTGGTCTTTCTGGGTAAGGAGTCATGTCCCCTCGGTTATTAGAAGCTTTCTCTAAAGAATCTGAGTAGTAATAACTTTATACCTTTATTTATCATACAAGTTTCTCCCACCCACTAGTATAATTTTTGGACATGTGCTTTTCTGGTGCCGTCAGTCATTTTAAAATTGCATTTAATGTATCCTTATTGGCTACATTAATAACTACATTAATAACTGTAGCTTTCATGCCTTTTCCTCATTTTAAGAGGAAAATATGCTGTCTGTAGAATTCTAAATTGAGTTAATAGGTGTATGACTCATGCATGGCTTGTGTGACAGTCAGATGAGCTCTTCTTTTGATAGGAGAGTGTATAATGTTGCCATTCAGGACCCCCACGGGTGAAGGGATAAGAGAGCCGTGGGAGGGGAGGAGAAGCAGGGGCATAGATAATTCTGGTGTGTCAGGACATGGGGAGGGTGTGTCCAGGATTAGAACTAAGAACCATCAGGGAGGGATGAGGTAGTGAGAGACGAGGAGAGAATACAAGAAGCTGCCAAGGTACCGGGAGGTGGTGATGGCTGAGAGTAATGGGTAGAAGGGGAGGGGAGTGTGGAGGAAGGACACCCAGAAAGTGGGCTGGGTGGATCAGTGGGAGGGAGAGGAGGTTTGGGGATCTAGAGCTGTGGGGGATCCCAGACCTTTAACCCCGAATCCCTACCCAAGCCTTGTTGCTTTAGAGCCTACACTCCAGTTTTATTTCTGTTCAGTTTCACTTCATTATACATTTCCCCCCAAATATTATTATTTTAACTCTTGACCTCCCTCTCCCACTCATTATCCCCCTCCCCATATAACCTCCCCATCTCTATGCACAGTGACCCTGGCCACCAATCCTTGCTGCATTCCTCCCTCCCATAGCAGGGCCCCTACCCAGGCACAAATGGCCACTTTGTTGATGATGTCACAGGGTGGTAGTGTAGCCTGTACAATTTTTACCCCTATAAGATTACATATTCCAAATCCCTTCACACCAGTCGGGCTTATCGCTATACCCCGATACAGTCTGTTCCCCAGTGTTCCTTTCCCAGCTCTGATGCCGCAAAGCGTTTATCCCGTGTCCCCCTTCCCAACTCTGATGCCGCAGAGCCTTGCCTGTATCCCTGTTCCCTTTTCCCATTACCCCCCCCCCCCAACCAAACATTCGACATTGGTGAGGCCTCATCTGGAGTATTGTGTCCAGTTTTGGGCCCCACACTACGATAAGGATGTGGAAAAATTGGAAAGCGTCCAGCGGAGGGCAACAAAAATGACTAGGGAACTGGAACACATGACTTATGAGGAGAGGTTGAGGGAACTGGGATTATTTAGTCTGCAGAAGAGAAGAATGAGGGGGGATTTGATAGCTGCTTTCAACTACCTGAAGGGGGTTTCCAAAGAGGGGGGATGGATCTAGACTGTTCTCAGTGGTAGCAGATGACAGAAGAAGGAGTAATGGACTCAAGTTGCAGTGGGGGAGGTTGGATATTAGGAAAAACTTTTTCACTAGGAGGGTGGTGAAGCACTGGAATGGGTTACCTTGGGAGGTGGTGGAATCTCCTTCCTTAGAGGTTTTTAAGGTCAGGCTTGACAAAGCCCTGGCTGGGATGATTTAGTTGGGAATTGGTCCTGCTTTAAACAGGGGGTTGGACTAGATGACCTCTTTAGGTTCCTTCCAACCCTGATATTCTATGATTCCAGTTTCTCTTCCCTCTCCTGTTTGACTCCATTTATATAGTAATATTCTCAGCTATACCTTAGCCAATCATTGTGCTGAAATTTAACTAACCAATTCTAACATATTGTAACATAATTCTCTAACCAATTATATCCCACTATCCTAATTAACTTACACCTAGCAAAATTAATTATACAACACAGAGAAACAATTAGAGAACCAGACTGATTAACAATGTAAAAGTTGTGGCTGTAAAGATAAAACAATACAGAAATGAGTGTTTCATAACCACAACCATTGATAAGTGATTTTTTGCCAGACAGTGTAGCCTGAATTGGGGGGTGTTAGTAATGTTGATTTAATTTATCCACTTAATGTATTTTTATTTAATTAATTTTTAATTAATTGATAATAATTATTATGGATATTAATTAGTATGGGTTTAGGCTCGCCAATTTGTTTGATCAGAAGATAAATGTTTGTCCTGAATCAGACTTCACAGATGTTATAAAAGGACTTTCGGGGGTATGACAGGAAGCTCACACTGAGACAGATATAGTTTTAAAGACCTTTTCTTAAAATCAGTGAAATAGTAAGCAGATGGTAAAACAGAATTACAGAGTTGCAATTGTACTACTGTTATTCAAGAGATACATATGATAATACAATATTATGTGCTACAAACTTTGGTTGATACTCACACTCTGTTTTAATAACCTGGTGTTGGAAGATACAGGACCCCGCCTCTGGTGGTTCCGGCTTCACACCTCTAGCAGAGGAAACTGATGCAAAGAGCTGTTAAAGCTGTTTACTCTCTAACTTAACTTAATAAACCTTAAACTGAAACAAAGCGTAGGGAAACCAAGCTTAGCCTAGTCCCCTTAAAACTTAGTTTGAAAAGAAATTAAGTACGGCCTATTAATAGTTAATAGCCGTCGTAGATCGGTAGCATCGATACGTTGTTGAAGATGGAGACAATGAAGAGTAGATTGCCTCTAAAATGGCGAGATGAATCACGTTTTTATAGGGCATTGGTCGGAAATCCTTCCTCTTATGCCCAAATTTCATCCTTCCCCCACAGAAATGTTAGGGTACACTTACCCCATAAGCTAGTATGTATGTGCGTATGGATGACAGGTATGTACGCACTTGTGGTGTACTTGTTACGTCTGTGGGTACAACTTTGAAAAATCCCCTTTGCCATCCTGCATTGTCTATTGGGTTAGGTAAAGATCTCTACACATCTGTGTGGGTGTTTTATCTATTTGGGTCATCTTTACTTTTCTGGGTAAAGG